GCCCCGTGCCTGTCTATTGGCTGGATATGCACCACACCTCTCTCAGGTATGCCAGTGGGAGTTTTAAGTGGGAGGGGGATGTGCTGTTTTCTTTTGGCGCCCGCAAACCGGATGTATCGAAGAAATGCAACCAGGCTCACAAAAGTGTAATAAGGTTGTAATAAGGACCAGCAACAGCCAGACTCTGTTGGAGTCAGAACACCTACACAAACTGCTATTGCTACAACCACAATAACCACACAATCCAGCTCCTTTGGCCTCCTCCCTGCAGGATATGAGGCAAGGAGTTGGGTTTTTAATCTAGCTCAGGCATCTCCCTCCCAGATGCCACAGCTGCTCCCCCAGATTACATGAACGTCATACATTTAAAACACTGTGTACCACTTTGTCCCCCCCTCGCAAAGAATTCTGGGAGCTGCAGTTTGTTAAAGGGGGCTGAGAGTTGTTTGGAGGCCCCTATTCCACTCCCAGAGCTATAGTTCCCAGAATAACAATCTACCCCTCTTATGGGGAACTCTGTTTCCAGGTCCTTGGCATCTCTGGGCAAGGCTGAGAAGGATTCGTGCCTGAAATCTAGAAAGTGTAGACCAGGGTTTCCCAAACTTGGGTCTCCAGCTGTTTTTTGAACTACATTTCCCATCATCCTTGACCACTGGTCCTGCTAGCTCAGGGTGATGGGAGTTGTAGTCCACAAGCAGCTAGAGACTCAAGTTTGGGAAGCCCTAGTGTATACATCCCAGTAGTGATGTATGGAAGTGAGTGCTGGACCATAAAGAAGGCTGATCGCTGAAGAATTGATGCTTTTTAATTATGGTGCTGGAGAGGACTCTTGGGAGTCCCATGGACTGCGAGAAGATCACACCTATCCATTCTTAAGGTAATCAGCCCTGAGTGCTCACTGGAAGGACAGATCATGAAGCTGAGGCTCCAATACTCTGGCCACCTCATGAGAAGAGAAGACTCCTTGGAAAAGACCCTGATGTTGGGAAAGATGGAGGGCACAAGAAGGGGATGACAGAGGATGGGATGGTTGGATAGTGTTCTCGAAGCTACCAGCATGAGTCTGACCAAACTGCGGGAGGCAGTGGAAGACAGAAGTGCCTGGTGTGCTCTGGTCCATGGAGTCATGAAGAGTCGGACACGACTAAACGACTAAACAACAACAACAACAAAGTGTAAAGAATACTGAGCTGGATGGACTGTAACTTGACTCTCTATAGGCAGCTTCTTACATTCCTAAAGCAAGGTACTGATGACCCTGAAATTAATTGGTGGGCAACCTGGAAACACAAATCAGCAGCTGCATTGTCAATGGATGATCAGGAAACAGAACGGCCAAGCAAAATTCTTCCAGTGGATTTTGCATGGATCTACCTCGCCTCTTTGCCCACTTCCTGCCCTGCTAGAGTGGGAAGAAGGCAAACACAGCCTTTCCCATCTCTGGCTTCCTCATCTATGACTATTTGCTCCCAGTCCGGTATCTTCCTATCATTAACATCACAGGTGCCAAATTAAAGGGTTCATTGTAGCAAGTGAGCAAGGTGTTTATCTTCCCCTTGGAGGATTTATGGTGTTACGGTATCCTGAAAGACCTACATTAGCTCCCAGTATGTTTCCGAGCAAAATTCAAAGTGTTGGTGCTGACTTTTAAAGCTCTAAACAGCCTCGATCCAGTATACCTGAAGGAGCGTTTCCACCCCCATCGCTCAGCCCGGACACTGAGGTCCAGCGCCGAGGGCCTTCTGGCAGTTCCCTCCCTGTGAGATGTGAGCTTAGAGGAAACCAGGCAGAAGGCATTCTCGGTAGTGGCGCCCGCCCTGTGGAACGCCCTCCCACTGGATGTCAAGGAAATAAACAACTATCTGACCTTTAGAAGACATCTGAAGGCAGCCCTGTGTAGGGAAGTTTTTAATGTTTGATCTTTTACCGTGTTTGGCTGGGGAAACTCAGCCAGATGGGCGGGGTATAAATAATATATTATTATTATTATTATTATTATTATTATTATTATTATTATATAACAGGAAAGATCCCGTAAAGTGAAGGGCATCTGGAAACCCCACATATAAAGCTGCAGCCTTCTGCCCCGTTATTTGCAGAAATCAGGTCCTCTGCTGCTGAGTTATGGCCCTTCTCTTAGATGGCCCTTCTCTGAGAGCCAGTGTGGTGTAGTGGTTAAGAGCAGTAGTCACGTAATCTGGTGAACCGGGTTCGATTCCCCGCTCCTCCACATGCAGCTGCTGGGTGACCTTGGGCCAGTCACGCTTCTCTGAAGTCTCTCAGCCCCACTCACCTCACAGAGTGTTTGTTGTGGGGGAGGAAGGGAAAGGAGAATGTTAGCCGCTTTGAGACTCCTTTGGGTAGTGATAAAGTGGGATATCAAATCCAAACTCTTCTTCTTCTCTTCATCAGTGGTAGCACAGATGCTGTGTATGCAGAAGGCCTCAGGTTCAAACCCAGCATCTCCAGGTAGGGTTGGGAAAAGAGCACAGCTCCCAAAAATGAGTGCGGCCCAGAAAATGTGTGTCCCATTTTTCAGCTGCGACATCTTGGATGGTACGGAATGTACCTGCCCCAAAATATTAATCCCAAGGGAATGCATCCCCCAGCAGAAGAAAGATCATTCACTACTGATCAATAAGCTTAATCAGGGCTTTTTTCTGGTTAGAATGTGCCAAAACGGCGTTCTGGCACCTCTCAGGTGGGCCCTGGAAGTAGGGAGAGAGACCTGACCAGCCTCAGCAAAGCCCTGCTGTGCCTCCAGCTCATGAGGAGACCCTCTTCAGAGCCGGGGGGGGGGGGCAGTGGTGGCCAAACTTGGCCCTCAAGCTGTTTTTGGACTACAACTCCTATCATTTCCAGCTAACAGGACCAGTGGTCAGGGATGATGGGAACTGTAGTCCCAAAACAGCTGGAGGGCCACGTATGGCCACCACTGTGTCTATGGGCTTTGGAGAGGGTCTTCAGCCTCCCAGCTAACACCTGACATGCGGGAAAGCCACACCTCAGCTGAACAAACCCTCTACTGCTCTGGCACATGCGAGCTGGAGAGGCTTTGGGGCTCATTAAGCTGCTCATTTGAAGCATGGAAGGCTCCCCTCCCCTCAGCTGAGCAGCCTCAAACCGCAAAAGAGGATGCAACTTTTGGGTTTGAGTCTTCTGAGGGAAGAACATTCTGGCACCTTATTTTCTAGAAAAAAAGCACTGAGATTAATACTCTGCACTGTTCCCTCCTCAGATGAACTGGCAAGAAATTCTGCTGACGAAATCCTGTTAAGTACCTCTGAGTTCATTGCACTGATTTGTTTAGAAAAATCTGCACAATGCTTAATTTTAAAAAAATCCCTAAGTGGTGTACATAAAGCAAGGCATTGCAATGATCTGTAATGTACAAATAAAAAGCAGCAACTTTTTAAAAAAACACACACACCAAAATTATATGACCGGATAGGCTTCCTGCAGCAGAAATGTTTTTAACAAGCATCTAAAACATTATAACGAGGGTGCCCTTTTATAAACATCCATTTAAAGCACATGCCTTCTCCCAAAGAACCCTGAGAATTGTAATTTCCTAGGGTTGCTGGGAAATGTAGTTTGGCGAGGAATAAATGACAGCTTCTGGAATTTTGGGGAGGAAGCCATGTGTTTTAAATATATGGTGTGGATATGAGTGAAGAATCTCCCCCCCCCCCAGTACATGGTGGGTATTTTGGAAGTTGTTTTGTTTCTGCCGAGGGAGAATTTGTTCCAATACGTTTTGCATTTCCCCTCCCTCAAAGCACCATAGTGCATGCCTGCCCTCTCTGCTTTTGATTTGAAATTCCTTCCACATTCCACCACGGCTGCAGGTACAGCTGCTTAGGGATCCTCCAGCCCCACCTTGGCAATGGAACCGGCTATTTAAAGCTCTCTCACACGCCCTGCCTACTGCGTGGTTTTGGTCTGCTGCGGGGGAAGATTTAATGGGAGGGGAGTTTTGATGGGACACGAGGTCTAAATTTGGTATCAGGGATGCCTGTGAGAAAATGTGTGAGAACGTTCTCGTCTTGGCGCATGAGGAAACACGTTTCGATCTGCAGTGCTATGCCAGAAGTGCTATGCCAGTGCTATGTTGCTTAAAACATGCCAGGACAAACCAGGTCTTAACCCAAGAATAGATTTCATTGATTTAATGGGCTGGGGCATTGCATTTTCGGTAAATTAAAATGGCAGACTGCCACCACGGATGGGAACTGAACTTGGCTTCTGGCTGCCCATCGCTGAAAGGGCCATCGGAAGCCCAAGGAGGAGAGCAGCTGATTGCGTTTGTAAAATTGAAATGTTTGGCAACTATTGAAATTCTTGGAAATGCTTGTAAATATCACTCGTTGCTGGGAGTGGAGGAGAAATTTAATTTAGTTCACATTCGAAGCCGAACTTGACAAATTTGCAATATGTGATCTGAAAGGCAGTTGTCCTTCAAAATGCACAATTCTCTGAATTTTGTTCTCAAAGCAAGAAATGTGTGTAAAAAGGCACATATTCACAAAAATAAGCATGTAAAATGCATTCTGTGTGGAGAAGATTACTTGCAAAGATGCGTTAAATCTGGCAAATCGCATACCAAAAAATGTGCATGTTGAGAGGAATTTGCACTAAAATGCCGACCAATTGTCCTGAGTAGTTTAAAAAATAAATAAATCACAAATTGATGCAGAATTGCAGATAACTGAAGACTGGGGGGAAATGAGAAACAGAAGATGACAGCTGCATAAAAACGTAAGACAAGGCTGCTGTACCAGGGCAATGACCCATCTAGTCTAGCATCCTTTGCTCTCAAGGGCCAATCAGACTCTAACCAGGACCTGGCCACAATAGCACGCATTGGTGATTCCCAGAAATTGGTACTCAGAGGCATAATGCCACTGGGAGTATAGAATCACAGAATCATAGCATTGTAGAGTTGGAAGGGACTCCGAGGGTCATTCTAGTCCAACCTCCTGCACTCCAGGAATCTCAACGAGATGGCTCAGTTGGTAGAGCATGAGACTCTTAATCTCGGGGTCGCGGGTTTGAGACCTACCTTGAGCAAAAGATTCCTACATTTCAGGGAGTTGGACAAGACGACCCCCTGAGTACCTTCCAACTCCACAATGCTTTGATTCTATGAGCTATGACAGGTGGCCATCCAACCTCTGCTTAAAAACCTCCAAAGAAGGGCAGTCCACAACCTCCCGAAGGAGTCCATTTCACTGTTGGACAGCTCTTAACATTAGAAAGTGCTTCCTGAAGTTTAGTCGGAATGTCCTTTCTTGTAACTTGAAGCCGTTGGTTCGAGTCCTACCCTCCAGAGCAGGAGAAAACAAGTTTGCTCCATCGTCCATCCTTTAAGATATTTAAAGATGGTGCTGTGGTCTAAACCACTGAGCCTTTTGGGCTTGCCTATTGGAAGGTTGGTGGTTCGAATCTCCGCTACGAATCCCCGTTGCTTGGTCCCAGCTCCTGCCCACCTAGCAGTTCCAAAGCACGTCAAAGTGCAAGTAGATAAATAGGTACCGCTCCGGCAGGAAGGTAAAGGGCATTTCTGTGCACTGCTCTGGTTCGCCAGAAGTGGCTTAGTCATGCTGGCCACATGACCCAGAAGCTGTATGCCGGCTCCCTCAGCCAGTAAAGTGAGATGAGCTCCGCAACCCCAGTCGGCCACGACTGGACTTAATGGTCAGGGGTCCCTTTACCTTTACCATATCTCTTCTCAGTCTCCTCTTTCTCAGTAGAGGTAGAACACAGCCACTGTGGCTAGTAGTCATTGACCTCCATGAATTTGTCTGATCCTCTTTCTAAGTCATCCAAGTTGGTGGCCACCACTGCTTCCTGTGGCAATGAGTTCCATAGCTTAACTACACTCTACATGAAGAAGTTTTTCTGGCCCGAATCTTCCAACATTCATTGGATGCCCATGAGTTCTAGCATTATGAGAAAGAAATTTTTCATCCGTACCTAGGCTTGAGATGAGGCAAGCATGGGTCTAAGCGCCTAAAAGGGGCAGATCATCCTCTGAATGGTTGTGAATGGTGGGCCATCTATTTGCAGAACTATCTGGGGCAATATATCCAGAGAGGGAACGATCTTGGGACATACGGGTGGCATTTCAGGACAACTGCAGCTCCTGTGCTTTGGAGCAAGGATGATCTAATGTGCTTGGTGGATGGCGCCCCTGGAATGCAAGCAGCTCAGGGGCAAAGTGAGTCAGCAAGTGATAAACAGCGCTGGAGAATTTGGAATAAGCTTTTACAGAAACCATGCAATACTTTTCCAAGGGAGGTGGCATGCCTATTAGCTGCTTTGATCACTTCATTCTATGCCTGAGCTCCACTTAGGAGCATTTTAATCCCAATTAGCGATAGGCGATGCCAGGCTGTGCGTCTCTTTGCAACCTGAAAATTATAAGTGCTGCTGTCTTTACCACACGGCACTCAAACGGTTTGCACCACGTGTGATTGTTCTTAAATCATGGAGACGGCCGCAACTCTTATGCTTCAGGATTGAGCTTAAACTCCTGTGCCTGACTCCTCTTTCAGTTGTCGAGCAAACACTGCAGTTCTGATACAGCTGTTGGGCAAAACTCCATATTGAAAGCCACACATTCTGAATCTGCATTTGGAAATTTTTTATTTGGGTTTTCAGCTCTTGAGCAGGCAAACGGCTCATTCACTTGAGTGGCATGGAATTATTTGCACATTCTGGGAAGAACCAAGGGGGTCCTCAGAGCAAGGCCTTCCAGGCAGGGTTGCCCTAATAATAAATAAAAATACCAATTATTGCCTCATAAGAAAAGGTTTTAAATAGAGGGTCTTTATATGATATGTGGGGGCCCTGTTTCCCCCTATTTTTTCCCTTGCCACATTCCTTTTTTCTTTAAATTTCACAGACTCAAAATACACACTATTTCACGTTGCGTACTTAGACTCATGACGTTTCAGCCAATCACAACTCTCCAGGGGACAGCCGAAGCAAAATTGAATTGGGGGTTGGAGGAGAGGCGGAACAAAGAGCTAATTTGTCCGTGGCTAGGGGGCGTAATCTGGACAGTTCTGCCAGGGGCGCAAGATCACCTAGCTACAGCTTTGCCGCCTAGACTGCCTCTCTTGAAGGACCCCACCTGGTCCTTCCTAGAAGGCAGAAGGGAGGAGGTTAAAACAGAGAACCTTGTTGACTCTGCTGCTGCTGCTGCTGCTAAAGAGTGGTCATTGCTCCCCCTGTCCACCTTGGAAGAAAGCTAGGAGGGGCTGGACGGCTGCTGCCCCTACGAATAAAAGGATGGGTGCCTGAGACAGAGGGAGAGGTGCAGAGGAATGGGGGGGGGGTGTGGCTCTGGCAGATGCAGAAGTTGCCAAAAGGAGGTGTACAAGGCACCATCCAATCATCTTAGGGACTTCACTCTGGATTTGTAGTCTTTGGGGGAAAGGTGCCTGTTTCTTGTTTTCTCTGTAAGAATCAACTGAGAGTCAGAAACCCATGCAAATCACCCAGAGATCTACCAGGAAAACCTGCTCTCCCTTCCGCCCATCCCTGAACTAGAGGAGTGAATAGGTGGATTTGTAGGAGACCTGGTAGTGCATAAACAGCCTTGCCTTTTCAGCAAGGGATGGGCCATGCATGCCCGTCCAGCTCTATAATTCACTAACTGGCACAACTTGCTTTCCTAAGCCCATGGCAGAAAGCAATTCCCTTGCCTGAGGGGGTCTTCAAAAGCCAGGCAGAGAGCATGTTTCTAATCCCTATTACACGCAACCTCCTTTCTCTTTTCCTTTCCTTTCCCCTAGCAGGTTGCTGTGCATTTATTGCAAGCAGATGAAAAACAACAACAATAAATCCAACAGGTTAAGCATTTCCCAGCATGGTAAGGGCAGAAACGGAGTACAGCTTCCCCTGTTGAATTCCTGCCAGTGTTAAAAGTTCAGGACTCCTTTCTGCTGGGGGAAGGAAAGTGGCAAAGCTATTCTTCTTGCAATCCTTTAGTCATCACCGCCCTATCAATCTGCATTGCTAAAGCATTCGCTGCCCCTCCCTCCTCCTCGCTTGATGCTCACCTTCCTTGCCATGTGCCCTGGACTGCCCCACAGTCAATCTGTGTGTTCCTTTGGACAGGCTTATTTATTGAAGAGAACTTGGGAAAGTCAGGCACACCCAATCCAAGCAGAGAACAGACTCGTGTTGGGTCCAGAGATGCCTCTCTTGCAAGAGAAGGCTGAGAAGGCTCAGTCATCTCAACCCTCCTTGTTTTAATGAGTCAGGATCTGGCCAATCTCAGAGGTGGGAGAAGGAGTCTGTATGACTGCAACTTCCAACCACTCGACCACACAGCCTTCCAGGAACTTGGAAGAGAGCCCGGGATGCGTCCAATTCCCACCTCCACACCAGGATCCAAGCAGACCTCTAAGGCCATTGCTGTGAGGTCACTATATCCAGATGAGATTCAATCACATCCCAGCAAACTTTGGTTGCACATTTAAAGCTGATTTGGAGCCCTTGGGCAGCAAACCTGGTGTTCCCCACACAAAAACATGTGAGGGTTTTTTTGTAGTAAGTAGGGTGATGGGAGAATACAATTTAAAGTGTGCTTGAGGCCATGCCATCTTACTTCTCTACAAATAAATTGGGATAGATGTTCAATGGATAGCCCACATCGTCTAAGCTCCCCACAAACTCTGTGGAAAGAAATCGGGATGAATATTCAACAAAGAGGTTGTCTGGAAAGGATCCAAATTTGCTGGCTTAGACCAGTGTTTCTCCCTCTTCTATTTGGGAGTGCTTTGTCAGTCAGATAAAAACAAGGACTGCAAAAGTATCTCCCCTCCCCTTAAGAGTGGCCCATACAAAATTCCCGAGTGAGAGAGGAATCACCAAAAAAGGGAAGAAAACAAAACCAAACCTTGGTCTAAAATTTGCACTATTGACTAATTTATATAAATTTATATATGCTACACATTTAGAAATGCTTACTACAGTTTAAATAGAAATCCAGTACATCTCATTGCAGTGGTGAAATCTGGGTTGTGTCCAGCAACGTCATCTCATTCATGCAAGGGCTTCTGCTTGTGCAATGGAAGGTTCCCCACCCTCTCTTCCCTCTGTGCACTCCCATCTATACCCCAGCCTTCTGGAGCAGATCTGAGGGGGGGCACAAGGAGAAAATAAGGAGGGCAAGTTCTGCTGTGGAGCAGGAAGTCCTTACGCAAATGAGATGACTTGGTTGGATGCCAAAGTATATACCACTTGTGGATAGTACATCCGTATGGATCTTTCCAATGTAAATAGAGCTCTGTGGACACTGCCACGAGAAGGTGGTTTATCAAACTCTTACAAGGGACATCTTCATTGCACCCTGTAAATCAGCAAAACTAATCCCAGTTCTATTTCAACAACTCTGTGGAAGAGATTGGAAAGGATTGCAAAAACCTCTTTCGGACATTCCCACCAGAGGTAAATCAACGCCCCAAGATTTTGACATTCATCTTCTCAACAGCTGTAATAATTCTAACTGTTCAACCTCAGTGTTTGAGCAGTTCAGTTTTTATCTCTGGAACTCAGATACCTTGAGATGATGAGCTACATTTCTTGAATGGCAGCAGGTTCTGCAGATTCAGAGGGAAGCCACTGCACAATGCACTTGACTGTGTTTCAAGACACAGCATCCTGGTTGCCTGAAGTTAGACTCCCTCATGGGACATAGAAATCTGCCTTATACCGAGTCAAATTTTTGCTCCATGCAGCTCATTAACATCTACACTCGCCAACAGCACCTCTCCAGGGTGTCATACAGGGAGCTTCTTCCCACCCTACTTGGACAGGCAGGGAATTTAATTTGGGCTCTCCTGCTTGCAAGACTACTGAGCTATAGCTCTTCCTCAAAAGAAAACTGTTGTCTAGTGGTGAATGATGCTGGAGAATCTGGGCCTTGCTTCTCATTGCTTCTCTTCATAGATTCAGGACAGATAAAACGAAGCACACAGTGCATAGTTCAGCTTTGGAACTTGCTCCCATGAGAGGCGGTGATGGCCATGAATTTGGATGGCTTTCAAAGAGGACTGGACACATTCATGGAGGAAAGGGCTGTCAATGGCTGCTAGCCGCAGTCGGAGGCAGGAATGCTTTTGAATACCAGCTGCTGGAAACCACAGGAGGGAAGAGTGCTAGGGTCTTGTTTTGTGGGTTTCCCCCAGGTATCTGGTTGGCCAATATGAGAACAGGATGCTGAACCAGGTGGGTCACTGGTCTGATCCAACACTCTCTTCTTATGTTCTGATTGCCTTTCTCTTTCTCCCTGCTTCAGCTTCTCCCTCTCTGTTGCTTTTTGTATCCTTTCCTCCAGCTTTCCCTCCCATCCCAACCAGACTGGCTGGATTCCTGAAGCCTGACACATCCCCGCCTTCCCATCCATCCTTTGGGATGCTCCAAACATCTCCTCCTGAAATCCTGGCTTGTGACTCACCTTGATACCAGGTGGGTCCGGTCCAACGTGTCCTCTGGTGCCACACTTTTCGCTCACGTGCCTGGCAACCCTCCTTTGCACTGTCCCCTCCCAGCCATTGTGAAAGCAGCAGAGCCCAGCCTGGGACCAATTGGGAGTTCAAAGTGGCACCTTTGTTTGGGGCTGGTCCTTACGGAAGAGCAGGATTGGGTGGGAGTATTTAGGAGGTTATTAAAGGCAGTGCCAGGCAGCAGGTCAGAGACAGGGGCTCAGGACACAGCAAGGAGCTTAGAGCTGTTTCAAGATGGCCAAGACTTGGGCAATTTTGCTGCTACCTGCTCTCTTCTACCAAGGTAAACTAAAGATGGATTGATAGGAAATACTATTGTTGTTATTATTAATTTTTATAATGATGTTGCAGAATGCACACTTTTAGTTTAGCTTTCAGCAGTGCAGGCAAGGCCAGATTAAGACCTTTAGAGGCCCCAGGCACTGTAAAATATTTTTTTATTTCTCAAAAGGAAACCTACGGTAAGATGGAAAATAATGTTTGTTTTTGTATACTTCTACTTTATTCCATGATACGAACAATTTATTTACCAGTTTACAGCCAAATTTTGTGCTTTAATTAATAGAGATGAATTTTGTCTCAGAATTTGTAAACTGAAAAGCAGAGTTGCGGGTCCATGGAAAAACTAACAGTGGAAAATTTCTGTGGTGCCCCTTGATACTCTAGCACATGCTCATTTTGCTTAATGGTTCATCCATCTCTGGAGGCAGGTTTGATATTGCAGGATCACGAGCGCTTTTTCGTCAGTCCTGCTCTTTTATCCTTTTGACGTCATCTAAAATTTTACATTCAGTATGCTTTTCCTGCTATAAGACATTTCAGTGATGCATGGGATTGTCCTGTAAGTCTGTAATGCAGAGATGCCCAAAATATTCCCTCCTTGGTAGCTGCTCCTGTAACAGCGGTTGGATCTACAGCAGTTGCCCAGTGATATTGTTTAGTTCTAGCCAAGTAGAGTTTGGCATCATCCGCACTGAAATGCATTTAAATTCCTAGAGTTACCTGGGAAGCGGGATGGATGGTTAAACCACTCTGGGAACGGTAGCTCCATGAAGGGAATATGGGCCGCCTAACAGCTCTCAGCACTTTGGACACAAACTACAGCTCCCAGGGTTTTGCAGAGGAAGACAGGACTGCTTTAAGTGGTATAATAGTGCTTGAAATGTAGCTAGTGCAGACGTGGATTCCTGCAATTCAAATCTCCCTTAAGGAGCTATGACCTCACTGCTTTGTTGCTTTTCCAGTCTGCTGGCAACCCTAACTAAGTGAACCAAGGCTAAAGAGATGCAGTTCACTCCAGGCTGCTGCAGCAATGAGGTGGACAAGCTAAATCATGAAATGAGGCTTCTTGCATTGAGACTGACCTGCTTCTCCAGCAAAGTTCAAAGTTCTTTAATTGTGCTATTGAGGACCAGCCTTTACAGGAGAAAAACCACAGCATGGGGTCAGAGCATCTTTTTGCATGCAGGAGGTCCAAAGTTCAATTCCCAGCATTTCCAGGTAGAGCTGGAGAGCTGAAATCCTGGAGAGCAGCTGTCACTCAGTGTAGACAATACTGAGCAAGATGAACCCTAAGGTCTGTCTCAGTCTAAGGCAGCTTATTAATTAACTAAATTTTTAGACCCCCTTTGTCTGAAGACCACAGGGCAGTTTGCAACACAGAACCCAAATGTCAACACGCAACGTAATACCTATACCTCATAAATACTGAAAGAGTTAGAATCATGGGATAGCTCAGTTGGTTAGAACATGGTGCTGAGAACGCCAAGGTTGCAGGTTTGATCCCCGTATGGGACAGCTGCATATTCAGGTTGGACTAGACGATCGTCAGGATCGTTCCAACTCTATAATGCTGTGATTCTATGATCTGTAGAATTGGAAAGATCCCAAGGGACATCTAGTCCTATGCAGGACTATTATTATAGAATTATAATAAATACGTAATAAAATACAGATGATTGTAACAGCAACAGCATCAAAAACAAGGGAGGCAAGAATCAGCAACCAGGTAACTAAAATGCAAAAAAAAAAACCAATGCAAAAATACCTTATATTTTCTCTAGCCAAAGACAGCGCTTAATCCTAGCCACTGCACAGAAAATGGCAGACTTTCCTAGTTCTTGCCTGGGAGCTTTCCTTTTCTTTCCCAATCTTTCAGTCTGGGCAATCTTCACTTCCTTCCCTCTAACTCCCCACAGTTCCTTCCCCAAATCCACCTGCCACCTTAATGTTTCTGTAGCTTCTGTAGCAAGGAGAGGGAGAGAGAGGACTGGGAGGCAACATGGGGAAGCCCCACCCTGAGAATGACTTGTCCCAAATTTGACATAAACACCCAGAAGGTGCCTCCTCCTCCTCCACGGACAGGGATTTTACAAAACACCTTATGATGGAAAAAGGACAATTAGCAAACAACGTGATCCTCTGGCTTCCCGGGTTCTCTGGTCCAGGAATTCTGGAGACCAGAATAATTATGTGGGGTGCGGTTCCATGCATCCCAGAAACATGTGTCCCAGAAACTTATTCTCTTTTCTTCTTGTTGTTGTTGTCTTTGAAAATTGGAGCCTAATCTTTGAAACAACAACAACAACGAAAAGGAGACGAAGTTTCTGGTCCTCATGGGAGGAGCCACTATAGCAGAAACAAGGAACCTGGTGTCTTCCAAAAGTTGTTGGACCAAAATTCCCATCAACCTCAGCTGGTACGGCTAATGGTCAGGGATGGTGTGTGTGTGTTGTTTCAAGTATCTGGAGTCCCCTTCCCCTTTTCTCCATGCCTGCCCTTACTAATTGAGAAGGAAGGGGGAACCTGCCTTTGCCATATTTCTGCTCCCAAAATTTCTAAACCTGCATGTTAAAAGTTCACCATGTGGGGATTAATTTCTCTTTAACATCTTCCTGCACTGTGTGTTTATTCTGAAATAAGTCCTACTGAACTGGGGGACTCATGCACACAACCAATGACTTTAAACAGTCCTGGCTTCCGCCAAATAATCCTGAGAACTGTAGTTTGTTAAGTGTGCCAAGCAGGGCTTTTTCCCCCAGCCGGAACTCACTGGAACTGCCATTGCTATTATATGGGAACAAGGGTTCATGGTGAGTTCCAGCACCTCTTTTTCTAGAAAAATAGCACTGGTGCTGAGAGTTGTTAGAGACCTTTATTCCACCCCCAGAACTACAATTCCCAGAACAGTTTAACAATAAACACTTCTTCCCAGGGGACTGCAACCCTGGGGTCTCCTAAGAGCTCTCAGCACCTGTAAGAAACTGCAGCTCCCAGGATTCCATGGAGGAGAAGCATTTTATGGAGAACCTAGACACCTTCCAACTATTTATTCAGCATTCTTTCTGATTTGATGGTGGGGAGGTTACACAAAGCGGAATGGTTATCCCATGCTTTCTGGGATAGCATTTTCTTGTCACTTTTCAGACCATTCCACAAAGGCATTCCACAGAGGTTCAATGCAGTCATTTGATGTTCATTGGGTGCCAACTAAGGATTACAATGCCTGCTGTTGACCGACACAGACACTGCAATGTCAGTCCCGGAATAAAAATCTTGGAGAGATAAGCACTTTGCGCTTGCCGACTCTTGCTTATTTATTTTAAAGTGCATGTGATGCAAGTGAAATCCATTATGCAAAGAACTGTGGAAGTGATACTCGTGGTGTGTAATGAGAAAGATTAAAATCTGATGAGCCTGCATGACATATTCCCAACGTGCTCCTTGTTGCGTAACTCAGTTCCACAGCTGAGCAGCCAGCAGATGGCATCCAACAGGCACAGTTTTCCCTCACAAAGGGTTCGACCCACAAACACGAGACTCTTAATCTCCGGGTCATGGGTTCGAGCCCCACATTCGGCAAAAGATTCCTGCATTGCAGGGGGTTGGACTAGATGACCCCCATGGTCCCTTCCAACTCTACAATTCTGGATCTGGGGGAATTTATTAGTATGCATCAAAGTAAAAGTCAAACAAAAGTATGGATGAGCCCAAAGTCTCCCCATATTGGGGGAAAGCACACCTGGTGAATATCTGCCTGTTGTGCAGATGCTAAAAGACGGAGTGGGAGAAGCAGCCTTAGACGTGACCAATTTCTCTCCCTCCTCTTCCAGCCTTTTCCTTGCAATGCAACACGTGTCACGGTGAGTACGATTGCTTAGGAGAGAACGTGACGTGTGAAGATCCTTCGGCCAGCTGCTCAACATCTGTCCGAAAGGCTTATGTCGGTAAGTATTATTTTTAGCGGTGGTCATGCGTACTTCTTGTTTGTTTTGTAAGGACTGTAGGTCATCCATAAACAAAAAAACATGTTTCTATCTAAAAACAAACAGATTAGAACAGCATTCTAATGTCGTGATCGGGGCTAAATAAAGTCACAAACCAGTGAGCTAGCTTTCAAGCTTCACAGAACTCTTCCTCATATTGGGCTTGGTGATCAACAATAAAAAGTCTGGTGTTGGGGTGGGCAGAATGTTGCTGTTAGAGGGCGTAGTAGAAGAAATCTGAGGTTTCAGGTCTTGCCTTTATCACCATACCATCACCATGCTTTCTGGGAAAATTTGAGGTTGGGGCACGAGAAAACAATACTAACTAACCTATCCTGAAGCCTGCCAATTGTTATGGGAGCTGAGCATGTGTGTGTGTCTCCTTGCAATAGAAAACTCAAGTTGTGAGTGCCAACAGGAATCCCAAACTTTGGGGTTCGTAGTTAATGCTAAGTAGGAACCCCATGCTTGACATATCAATTACTCAGTTTGTGGGATGCTACAAAATGTGGGGGGTTTGCTGCCCCCCCAAAACCCTGCAAAACTTTGGCACAAGTTTGCAGAGGACCCCAAATTTGGGGTCTGTAGTTCATGGGCCCCCAACAGGATTGTAGTGAAAAGAGGCAATGAGAAACAAGAGCAAGCTATCGGCAAGCTTGGGGGAAATCCATGGTTTGCAGAAGTGTAAATGGGCAGCAGAAGTGGGTCAGCAGAGGTGAAGGTGGTAGTGATGCCCAATGGTCAGGTCAAGTAGACCTTTCTCGGAGTGTGACCATAGCAGGCTTAAGGCAGGGCCCTTCTCGGTCCAGCCTGACTCACAAAGAGACACTTCTGAGAGTTCCCCTGCTTGATTTGCCCTAATATATAGTAGTGTGGGAATGAAATGAAAGGTACCTCTGGGTTTCATACAGCAAAAGGAAAACTGGGCTCGGGTCCCAGTTTGTGAGATGCTGCGTTAACTACAACATTATTTCTTTCCCTGTCCAGGCTTCCTGGAATTCCAGTCGGTGAGGAAAGGCTGTGCCCCCCAGCTGTTTCCCCACGAATCCATCTCCCTCAACTCTCACCTCATGTCTCTTTCGTACCAGGCACGCTACTGTGCTGAGGATGGCTGTAACAATGAGACCTACTTTGGTGAGTCACATGGCTGCCGGCACCCAAAATGAAACCAGGTTGAATTTTTTTTTTGGGGGGGGGTTGGATTTTGAGGGAGGCTGAAAGCGTATGGAGACAATGCGTGAAATTTCCAAGAGAGAGTTACCTAGAGGTCTACCATTGTTACCCATTTTCACCTGAGGTGTGTAGGAACTTGTTCTATTGTATGAATGCAATGAATAAATATGACAAGGGTGAAGTTTGAATTCCTTGCCTTGCCTGCAAAGTGGTTAGCAAAGTGGTTGGACCAGGACCTTGGTCAGGGTTCGACACCACACTCAGCTATGAAGCTCACCTTGGGCCAATCAACTCACTCTCAGCCTGGCCTACCTCTCACGGTTGTTGTGAGGATAGAATGGGGATTGATTGATTGATGGATTGTATTTCTATTCCGCTTTTCATTCAAATGAATCTCAAAGTGGCATACAATCAATAAATAACCGTAACATAATAAATCATAATATCACATCGCGAATACAGCATACATCATATAAAACAATTAACGAATTAACAGTTGCAATCTATAAAAAAACCTTAAAACATCAACTAAAAAAATAAGCTATACCTCACAATTACGGCAAGTCATGTGATTAACAAATCAATGAGGCATTTAGAATCTATAAATATTAAAAACATTCACAAAATAGCAACTGAAAATATAAACTAAGCACTTAAATTCATTCACACAATCTCTGCGCCCCCGTGACTCATAACCTTTCACTCTGTTCAGTTCATTAACTGCCTTGAGCTCCTTGGAGGAAAGGTAGGATTTAAATGAAATAAAGAAAGTCGTTTTTTTAAATAAAAAACACTCCCAGGTTCCTTTGCTGATTGTCCATAGGATGCCATCCCCCCTGCCCTCCTATGCCATCTCACTGTGCTCTCCCTCCCTAAGCACATGCTAACCCCCACCTCCTGTCTCCCCCCAGTCTCCCATCCTGCCCCTGTCAATCACATGCGCTGCCACAGCTGTGCCACCCAAGGAGCCTGGTGCCCCGAAGCTTCTCGCACTCAGATCAGCTGTGCTGGGGATCAGGACCAGTGTTTGGATCTTGCCGTCACCGGAAAACTGGGTGAGTTGGTGGTGGTGGGGGCGGTAGGCAGTGCAGGATGTGTGGGGGAGGGAAAGAGGTGAGGTGTTTTTCGGAAGAGGGAGATGATGATGGGAGGGACCCGTGGAGATGTGGGAGGAGACACAAAGGGGAGAAACCTGGCAAATCAGAACTGGGGATAAGAGTCTGCTGGATCACCGTGGCCAACCAGAGGCCTGTGGGAAGCTTGCAAGCAGGACTCAACCACAAGGGAGCGTGTCCCCTCCTGATGTTTCCAGCAACTGCTGTTCAGAAGCATTACTGCAGAACATAGCCACCATGACCATCAGCCACTGATAGACTTCCCCTCCTCCATGATGGGTTCTGCAGTGTCTTATGTCTTTTGCTGTCAATTATGCCTGCAGGTCCGTATGACAACATGAAGATGAAGGGCTGCACCAACCTCCCACGGTGCCAGGAGACCTTGAGCTTCCACTCTGCAGACCGTACCATCCATGCCAGCTGCTGCTCAACAGCCCTCTGCAATACCTTCAACCCAGGTAACTACTAAACTTGATAGCCGGGCATCAGATATGGAATTGTACGGTATAGGATCAATTTGTTTTCTTGTGACAGTGGGTTCCCCAGCATGCTAAGCCACCCTCAGTCCTTATCTCATACATCTGCAACAGTGGTGGTGTGGCCTTGTGTCCTCCCAATGTTCTTGGTAGAGCACAGCCATCATAGCTAGTCATCATTGATTTCCTTTTCCTCCATGAATTTCCCCAGTCTTTTTTTGTTGTGTTGTTGTTGTTTAGTCATTTAGTCATGTCCAACTCTTCATGACCCCATAGACCAGAGCATGCCAGGCACTCCTGTCTTCCACTGCTTCCCACAGTTTGGTCAAACTCCTGTTGGTAGCTTTGAGAACACTGTCCAACCTTCTCGTCCTCTGTTTTCCCCTTCTCCTTGTGCCCTCCATCTTTCCCAACATCAGGGTCTTTTCCAGGGAGTCTTCTCTTCTTATGAGGTGGCCAAAGTATTGGATCCTCAGCTTCAGGATCTGTCCTTCCAGTGAGCACTCAGGGCTGATTTCCTTCAGAATGCATAGGTTTGATCTTCTTGCAGTCCATGGACTCTTAAGAGTCTCCTCCAGCACCATAATTAAAAAGCATCAATTCTTCGGCAATCAGCCTTTTTATGGTCCAGCTCTCACCTGGAGCAGGAACCGGCAAGCCACTCCAGTATCCCTGCCAAGAAAACTCCATGGACAAAGTCCTCTTTTAGACCTATCCAACTTGGTGGCCATCACTGCTTCTTGGTGGACCAAGTTCCATAGTTTAACTATGCGCTGGATGAAGAAGTAACCTTTTTTCCCCTGTTCTGAATCTTCCAGTTTTCAGTTCCTTTGGCTGTCCATGAGTTCCAGTGTTAGGAGAGAACGAGCAAGTCCTTTCCTCTAGCCCCCTTTTCCCTGCCAGGCTACCTGGTCTACGCTCAGGGCTGATGGGAGTTGTAGCCTAGCAACTTCTATTTTATTTTATTTTTTAAAATTAATTGAATTTTCAAATTATAACAACAAATTTTCCACAAATCTTAATTAAACAATTTATATATCCATATTTCTCCCCCCCCCCCTTTGGCTTCCCCCGTATTTCTGTACTGATTTATTCAACAATTTCTATACCCTGCTGGTTTGACCAGTTGTGAAAGTTTAGTCAAAACCTGCCAGTGAGTCCAAGTCTTTATACTATCTTTTTATATAATTTATAAATGGTTCCCACTCTTTTTTGAAATCAGTGTTCTCTCTCTCCTGTATCCTCTCTGTCAGCTTAACCAGTTTCGCGTAGTCCATAAGCTTGGTTTGCCATTCTTCCTTTGTTGGCGTTTTCTCTTTTTTTCCATACTTGTGCTAATAAAATTCTTGCTGCTGTTGTTGCATACATAAACAATCTTGCTGCTAGCAACTTCTAGAGGACTACAGATGAGGGATGCAGTCAAATGCTTAGGACACTGGTATATTCTACAGGCGACCTTGGTCTTGTTGTTTTTTGTATAGCTAGCCTTGAATGTATTGTCTCTTTGGGCCAAACAAGGCAGAACATCCATTGGTGATTTCTGTCAGGACCATGGCAGGCAGAGAAGGCAAGGGTGGCCCCTGCTGGGCTTCTATTGGTGAAGACAGAAGTCTTGGTCACTGGCAAAGGTCAGCCAAACCGCAGCAGCATGCCTGCTCCGTTAGAGGATCTTGGTGATCCTCAGCATAAATTCTACTCATTGAATTCTACTCAGTATTGAACCAGAGCAGAACTCCAATGTATAGTTAGCAGACTAAAAACTTAAATAGACCAGAGGCAACTGTATTTCATCCAGCAGAGCTTTACTGCTACTGAAAGCAAATGAGCATAATGGTCACAAATCTAATACATTCATGATTGGCAGTGTCCACTTGTAGCAGACTTAACTTAAACTTACAATAACTTATAATAGGTCTAAATCATAACACTATATACAGAACACCACACCAGAAGGAAGAGAGATAGAAAGAGAAAGTAAAACCCAGGATCCTTCTTTTATAGTCAGGATGACCTTGAAGAAGAGATAAGAGAACCAGTTTAAGCCAGCTGTACTCAGCTTCTCTGAAGGAATAACCTAAACATCATGAACCTTCTGCTTGTTTGTTTCACACAGAGAAGCTTCCGGAACCCTCTTGAATTAATCAGAATAGGAAAGATTTCTTCTGCCCTAAGAAATGCAAACTGACAAAGGAATCAGGCAGTCTTTTGGGTACTCTGTGCCCATTGCTTAGGGCTTTGTGAATTGACGCAATAACTTGGTCTGGTAGAAAATAGGCATCCAGGTCCACTCTTGCAGCAAGGAAATAGCATGCACTCCTTGTAGCTGGAAGCGAGTCCAGTCCACAACCTGCTGCTTGTGCAAATGGCAGGAGGATTCCTGGTTGTTACGACGCAGGCATGCCTCATGGCTGTTTCTTTCACTTTTCTCTCTCCTTTCAGATCTTCATGTCCAAAGCCAGGCAACGAACGGGCTAGAATGCTATAGCTGTGTGGATGACAACGGCTCTGGGTCCGGGTGCTCCAAAAAATCAATCTCCAAGGTGCAATGCACAGGCATCCACAACATGTGCTTGGAGGGGGTTGGCAACAGCCGTAAAGGTGAGTGTTGATCTGCAAGACTCCCTACACTTAAGTTTCCGGTGCCATTCTGGTTAGGCAGAGGAGGCAAGCATTTTTTTGTTTCCTTCCGGAAACAGCAAAACCGGAGTCAAAAGTGGGCAGGACACTCACCCCCCCTTCTCGTATCCAAAGGTGTAGTAGTCTGAGGTCGGGTGGGGGTTGAAGACTTGTTACTCTTTCTGTGTTAGGGTCCCTGTCTCCAGCATCTGAGAGCTGCCCAACCAGCATAAAATGGGAATTTTTTAGTCACTGGGAAGAAGTCTTTTCAACCCTTTGCATTGACTACAGTCCAAAAAAGTGCAAGGGGGGAGGTGAGTCAGACACTGAGGATTGGCCCTTAGGGCCACTCTGGAGAAGGTGCACAAGAAAAACTCTGAGTTGTTCCATGTGCTGCAGAGCTAAATGTTTAGGTACACCAAAAGAATGAGGTGCTTTAGTTTCAGGAGATTAGTGTGCAAGTTCTGTCGCATGCACTGGGCACCAAAACCCACCCGCAAAGGTTAAGTCACTCTAAAAGAAATTGTAGGAGCTCTCCAAATCGTTTTCCAGCCACACGTCATATGAGATTTAAGGTGTGCGACAAGGGCTGCAGTTCACACTCACCGGGGGAGAGTAACCACAACAGCCTTGTAGGGAGCAATAAACCCTTTTGACTAATTGACTCTGTTCCCTTTTCTTTTCTTCACCTGCAGCTGGTAGGGATTTGGGCCTAGTGACCTTCAAAGGCTGCGCCTCCCCAGCCATGTGCCAGAGCTCTCTCCTGGCTTTGGTACAAGAGCTGGACAACGCCGACGTCATGTGTTGCCAAGGCAACCTCTGCAATGACCGCATCGTGGATGGCGTGGTGACGCAGCGCATAGTCTCTGCGGACAGCGCTGACACCACAACGGTGGCAGAGTGCGCCACCCCCACGCCATCTGGCACTGCACCAAATCCTGACTGCATCTATGATGATGAGGATGAAGACAGCGTTGCGGTTGCCCATGTCCCCGCTGGTGCAGACCTGTCTCCCGGGAGCCATGTCAATAATGAGACGGCCTACAAGGTCAATGAGAAGGAAGGGAGTGAGTCTTTGGTCAATGAAGGCGACCGTAACCACTCAACAACTGCAGGCGAACACGCCGTCAATGAGAATATCGTTGGCGATCACACAGAGGGCCACACCGTCTCCCCCGCAGGCACCACAGACTCTGAGGACATGGCAGCCGGCAGTTCCTCAGCTGCCACAAACTTGGACGAGAGCAACGCCGGCACCAACACCACCTCTTCTGGCAATCATGGCAGTGTTGTTGTGCTGGTGCCCGTCGTAGTCCCCAAGAAGAATGCCACTTCTGCCACGGCTACCACCACCTCCTCTTCCTCCTCAGAAACAAGCGCCGGCAACATGGTTGTGGTGGCTTCCAGCGATGACGATGATGAGTATGAAGAATGTGAGGCAGAAGAAGAGGCCATCAGCACCGGGCAGCAGTTCATGGCTGGTAAGGAGGCAAACCGTGAAGGTTCGGCCGCCACCCATCCTTCAGGTGTGTTCTACGAAAGTGAAACCCGGCCACATGGGTCTGCTCACTCTCCTGCTACCGGTACAACAGGAAACACCAATGTGGACCACACTGGCCATGCTACTACTAGCAGTGAAACCTTTGCCGTCGGTGGCAATCACGGAGATGCCAGTGGTGAGCATGTCACCGTTGATGGTAGCACTCCCCAGCCAGGCCATGCCACCAGTGGCTCCACCACGGGAGGAAAGGTGGAGGCAGGTGCCCCTGTTGTGATCACTGCCAATGCACCAGCCACCACCAGCAGTCCTGCTGGAGCAGTCCTCGTTTCTGGAGCAGCAGCTGGCACTCCACGCCCCAAGAAGAAGATCCCATGCAAGCGGCCCGGGCCCCAAAGCCGACCCGGCGTTAACCTGGCATCCGCACCTGGAGCTGAGAGCCGAGGCGTGGAAGACACTGCCACCAAGAACCCTGAACCCTCGTTGTTCAGTGATGCTAAGCAGCCGGAGCTCAATGCAGGGGGGAAAAGCAGCCTTGACAATGGGGCTTTGGGCCTTGTCTCCAACTTGGGCCTCTTCTGTTTCACTCTCCTGTTGGCTGCCCTGTTGCATTGAACCCACAGAGGCTGGGATTGGGGTTAGGTCTGTTGATTTGTTTTAGACAATGCTTTTTTCTGAAAAAAAATCTTTCGGTACTCTCATTTTGACTCAAGAAAACCACCATTTTATAGTTCAAATAGGGGAAAATAAATACAGTAAATGGACAAAAGTACAAAGAACATGGATTACCTCATATTACACAGCTGTCAACTCACAGTAACTTCCACACTGGCATGAGGTTCCGTCTGAGACTCAGGAAACACCGGGAACAGAAATGAAGCTGCCATCGGAGGTGGTAACAATGAAACTGACCAATCACCGTGCTAGATTCCAACTCCTACTTCACACATTAAACACTCACTTCTGTCTGAGGCTCAGGGAACACCGTGACAGGAAATGAGGCCGCCATTGGGCATAGCAATGGAACTGATAATTCACTGGGCTAGAGAAGAAACTAATTTTTTTTAAAAAAAATAGTTTCTTCTTCCGTTAGATTCACAAAATGTTTAGGGGTACACGTACCCCTGTGTCCCCCCCAGAAAAAAGCACCGGTTTTAGAATCAAGGAGTACGGCTTCCCACCCCTTGATCTACTGCCATTTCCTTTCGTAAAAGAACATTCGAACCCACACAGGGTTTAAAGGAGAAGTGTAATCCAGAATAAAATTTGGAATGCTTGGGTTTTGCATGAAAGTATGCATGGGTGTGTGAGAGAATATGCACAAATGAATAAAACAAATGGCATCTTGCTCCCTCCTGGTTGGAAAAATGGGATGAGGCTTTGTGTCTTTAATATACCCTACAAGACCCTTGGCTGAAAGAAGAGTCTTGCTTATATTCAGGCTGAGCTGGGAACTCCTTCTGGACTGATTCGGGAGGTGGGGTGCCATATTAACATGTAGTTAGAGAAGTATATATGCCACATAACCAACAGGATACACAAGTAGAGCAGTTAACCCATAACATATTGGTAGGTCTGTTTGTTTTCATATGCTGCTAGTGAGGTTTGTACAGTTCACTCAGCTGTGCCAATAATGCGCAGCTATGGGCAACTGCAAGCACACATTGACACACACTATGTTTATTAGGAAATCTACAATGGGATGTTTATTTTTTTTACAATTATATATATATTCCAGATACACAGAGCAAAGCTCAGTCGGTCACAAGCAATAACTCAGGGCTCCTCCAAGCTCAGGAAGGCGACTCTGAGCTCCAGGGTCAATTCAGTCCCATCTAGGCATTGTGAAGGCTAATTGCAAAATACAGCAAATGGAGAGGAGCATCCATATTCCACTGGGGGGGGGGTGGGCTTTAAAATGATTTTTTATTCTGCATTCATGATGGCTTGTGCTCAGGATACTATCAGGGCAGTCTGACATGATCTTGCTTTCAGTACCGTTTGTACATGCAAAAGTTCTAGGGCAATCACACAGCTTCCTTTCTAATCAGTGCATATCCTGTAACTACCCGGTGAAACCCCTTAACTATTTATATCACCAATGTTCTGGTTTATTTTTGTACTGCTTTTTGTTGCACTGTGGTCCCTCCGGGGAGCAAGCATGTAGTAGAATTGGGCAAGCATCGCGAAACATCTAATAAAGTAGAATGAACCTACCACTAAGGCACTTTTCTTGGGTCAAAAGCATGTTGCAAAGCACACCTGTGATAAAATGCCGGTCGAGGGGGGGGGAGCTGTGGTTGCACAGTGGGACCGAGGTATAAAATCACCCAAATCCGAAATGTGACAAATATCCTGAGGAACGCACCTCCCACCCCCGCTTTGTGCATAAGCCAGAGAAAAAGGATGTTCGATGTCCCAACACTTTGGAATTTCCCTTGAGATAAATACAGACAGAGCACAAACTACCCCTTAATCCTTCTCCCCAACAGAAACAAAGTTTGTTTAGGGTGCTGAGAGTTGTGGTGACAGCCCATGTTCCTAGGGTTGCCATATTTCAAGAAGTAAAAATCCAGACACAAAAAACTGAGCTTTTTTTTTTTGGAGGGGGGAATCAACCACAAACTTGTTGAGGTTTTATTTCCTGGATGCTAATTTCGCCGTTCCAGATATTCCAGACATATGGCAACCCTATCTGGCCCCTTCACAGAGCTCTAGTTCCTACAGTAGTTTAACAATTGATCCCTCTTCACAGGGAATTCTGGGAATTGCAGTGCTGGGAGAGGAATAAGAGGTCTCCTAATGACTCACAGAACTCTTAACTAACCACAGCTCGCAGCACTCTCTGGGGCAAGCCATGACTGTTCAAAGGGGTATAACAGTGCTTTAAATATATGATGTGGATACAGACTAACTAAGCACTGCCTGCAGGCCTCACCTTTCTCACTGCTAACCTAAACACAGATGCCTTTGGAGCGTCCCATTTCTAGCTTTGACCTTGCAGAACACCTTGCCCATTGCCTGGTAGTGGGCAGGGTATTCAAGCTCCCTTGCAATTAAGAAACAATGTTATTTTTAAAAAAACACGCTAACACTGCAATTAAAACAATTGCGTGCTCGTTTTCTAGGTCATCAAAACAGCTATTGCAACATTGCTGCCATCTGTCAAAGCGTTGCCCAGAGTAGCAGCTAGATAAAATTATTGGTTGGTTTGCCACAACTGAATGGCTGAAACCCAGGGAGGGCCTTCCCCTGATGACTCATCTTAGGGCAGATTCATGTAAATATGTACCAATTTGTTGCACACAGTCCAGGCATCTTTCCTTGGGAATGTAACAGTCTTCCTTACGTACCTTGGTGCATGCTAGATTTGGACATGTGAAAAGGCAGCTTTCCAATGTAGCACGTCCATTGCCCTGTTGGCTGCCATATGGAAATTGACTGTGCAAGTGGCATGAGAACCAATTGAAGACTGGATCTGACCCATGCTCCAGTCACATGCAATTAATTGTGCGTAACAATTTGAAGTTCCACAGTTTCCTGGAAGTTCAGGTGGCTTTCAGGATGTTGTCAGAAACAAAGATGGTGGCCACTGGGAGCTGGCAAGAGTGTTGCTGCTGCTGTTGTTTTTAAAAGAGAAGGCAGGACAAGTGTCAGTGACACTTCCATGGTGCTGTCTGAGGTTGCTAGTGCTGGACCTCAGTATGGATATTGTAGTAGGGTTGCCATATTTCAAAAAGTGAAAATCTGAACACAAAAATTGTTGAGGGTTTTTTTGTGTGTGTGTGAAATGTTAAATTAAAGTAAGATGGTCCGCAGCACTTTCAGAACCACTTTGGATCCAGGAGCTTAAATCTAGCCTCTAGCTTCCTATTGGTTCTTTAAACTTCTGGAAGCCCAAGAGGTTCAGCAATCTTCTAGATGGGGAGCTTGTGGCCCTCCAGATGTTACTGGACTCTAACTCCCATAATTCCTGGCCACCTTGGCAAGAACCAATGGGAGACAGCATCCAGCAACAGCTGGAAGGCCACAAACACAAGACAGCACAAGAACTCAACCAAACTCCATTTACTTCACGTTTATTACGCACCAGGGAATTTGACTTCTATGAGGAAATAGCTATGTTTAAATTACATTTAAAGAGTGTGCAGTCTGTATGCCTGTTCACACAAATACGGTAGTTGAGCTGTACATTCAAGCTGTGTACACATTACTGGTTTAAAATGCAGCCAGGGCTTTTCCAGCAGGATAAATGGGTTTTTACCATGAGTGTCTCCTTGTTTTAAATTTATTTTTTGTTTTAGTGTTTGTAACTGTTTTAATTACCTTATGTGCAAATTTCCTTGAGATGGTGAATTAGGTGGTTCTTCTTCTTCTTCTTCTTCTTCTTCTTCTTCTTCTTCTTCTTCTTCTTCTTCTTCCTTCTTCATACAGTTTTTGACATGTAGCCATGTACAATCTGTGTACCTCTTTACATAACAGTTAAGCTGTACAAATCAGCAAGTGTACACTCTTTCAAGCAAACACGTCTCCATGTATAGACACAATCTGAACCCGTGTTCAGTGAAACATGGCAACAAGGCCACAGTTAAGCTGGTTTAATCGTGAATCCCTTTCCCCAGGGACCTCTGCAAAGGAGTGTTTCGTGGGGAGATGCCAACAATCTAAACAAATCTCAGACAGAGATTATCTGTGCCGTCAGCAAACTACAATTCCCAGTAGCTCCTTTGGAGGAACCCCGACTCTGAAATTGGCATAAATAAATGTGTTGTGTGCATAGGGGCCTCATGTCCCATTGCCCTAAGGAAAAGAACCACAACCGCATTTCCCTACTTCTGTCTTCGTTAATTAATTTACAATTGCCGCATGATATAATGAGTTCAGTTTCCATGCTGTGGGACAAAACTAGGCTCTGTTTATTTATAACTCCAAGGCTTTTCCATAACAGAATGAACTTAAATTAGGGAGGAGGAAACCCAGCTAAATTCTCGGATTGCTAATTATAGAACCCTTGCTTTCAATGAGTTTGCAAGTGCTGCAGCAAACAGAGTTTTCTCTAGGTCTAGACAAAAGTCATATATGCACCTGTGTAACTGAAGTCCTTCACAGGCATTCTTAGCTTGTAGTGTGAGCACTTGTTGCTGAGGTGTGTGGGTGTATTATTGTGGTACCAAGCTCCAACTCCAAACTGCACATATTTACCATAAGATCTAAACAACAACAACCCCTGAAAAGACAGCTGTATTAGCAGAGAGTGGGAATGGTTGAGGAATGTAATATTTACAAATTCCCATTTGAATTGAATTTGAATTGAATTTGAATGTAATATTTACAAATTCCCATTTGAATTGAATTGATCTGATTCACACCTCCCAGTTTAATATGGGGTGTGTGTGTCAAAACTAAGTTATCCACTGTAGGGAACAAGCCTCTGTTGAGATGACCATGCTGTAACTCACTCTGTGTAGACTAAAGGTGTAAATATGTGTAATTAAACCATACAGTTGTACCTTGGATCCCGAATGCCTTGCAAGTCGAACGTTTTGACTCCCTAATGCCACAAACCTGGAAGTGAGTGTTCTGGTTTGTGAACATTCTTTGGAACACAAACATCT